TGTTCTAACCCTTGTAACTTCCTTAATATAGCACTATTCGCAAAATTATTGCGGCAGCATGTTCGAAAAAAAACTGCACATATATTTCTCTTTAAAAGCTTTTGGACATGAGGGCTCTTTACTAGGCCTTTAAAAACCGCACGTGGTTTGAGTTTTCAACTTCCGCCGGCAGTACAACTGTCATCGCCTCCGTCGACCAGTGTTGTGCGTTCTCATCGCACTGATGCAAGAAGATCAAACGCAGATAAAATACATTGTGTTTTAATGTTTTCTACACGCTTTCTAGCGAAACGATTTCAAAGTTAGACATTTCAGATGGTACGCTTTTTTTATGCTACGCAAAACAGAAAAGCAGTGAAGGACGGCAGGCATTCTCTTCAACAGCCTCCAACACGCCCAAATTTTAATTCTTTTGTTGTGAATAAAATCCCACAAACATTTAGCTGCTACAAATAAACTGAATGAAACTGAATTTTTATATATTTAAAGAGCCATTGTCTGGGATAGAGAGGCTAAGGAAATGCAATTGCCTAGCGAATTCCAGCCCCCCGCCTATACATTGGTCACGGGTGTAAAACCACACAAACATAGTCCAGCAATACAGAAAAAAGTACAAAGGGTCAAAATGCGTGCAACAGGCCGCCGAATATACAAAAAGTAACATATTTAGGTTTTATACATGCTGTAGTACTAAAGCGGTGGCGTTAGTCTGTGTGTCAAGAAAAGGCAACTTCACCATGCGCGCTATCTCGGAAGGTCAATTGTCTTCTTGCTAGTCATCGCAGGTATTGCCAGTGGAAAGCCCTTGCTACTGATAAAACAAGTGCATCAAGAAAGCGCACAGAACAATTAAATTGTGAAATCAATGAAGTCTTACACAAACAAAAAAGACAGATAACTGTGGGAGTGTTGCTTCTCTATTGCTCTGCCAAAATAAAATCCTGCACGTATCGAACATGTGACACACATTGTTCCGGCGGTGTGACTGTGTACGCTTTGCTCACGTTTTCTCAACCACTAGAAATGCAGGAAGAAAAAAGGTAATAAAGGCGGGAATAGAAGAGGGCAATACAAAGGGCGGGGGGGGGGGGGGGGGGGCTTGAGATAAGGGGCATGCCAAATCGGGCATTGAAGGAGGCCGAAAAAAAGAGATAAGGGTGGATATGTACTAAGGTCATACGCGAGTTTCGTCCGCGTAAACAGGGTAGAATGGGGGAGGCATTGCGTTAGGTCATGAATTCACAGGGCCTGAGGAAAATCGCACTCCGGAATTTCTCGAAGTACTATATCACGCGGCGAGCTTTGAACGTGAGAGTTTCGCTGCAAGAATGGCTGAGAAATCGTGAGAAAACACTTGGTAAGGACAGGTGGTGATTGTGTATCTTATGGATCGAATACACTCCAGGGCACTCTTTCAAATGTTTCTAACATGTTTGTAATGAACCATTTCTCATCGTTGTTGCAACTTCGTGAGCAATAAGCAAGTAAAAGAGGAAACAGAGCACACGTTTGAACTTCCAAACAAAACCGCGAGAAAAATCGTGGCTGTTTTTTTTTGCATTCAAACAAAAAGGCAATGGCATAAGCCATCCTTCAATCGATTTGCAGGAACAAAAAAATTGCGCTCCAGCCATCATTTTCTTTCAAAGACATATCATCTGCGACGTTTACTATAAATGTGAATTCACGGATTCCGTTATCGTCCCCGCGAATACACGTGTCCTTGTGGTGACAAGTGGTTGCTATACAAGCGAGTGTGTTCTGCGATGAAATGCCACTGGCCACATTGGGTTTTTTAGCAACAACATTTGCGAAAAAATAAACGCATTGTTAGATTGCACTTGTTGATGTGTGCTCTTGTCTTTCGTTCCTGTTACGCGCAAAGGGGCTCAAAGTATAATTCAATCCAATAAATAGGTTTATATACCACCCGATCTCTTCAAGCCTCTCGCTGCCCTGAACGACTGTATTCTTTAGATGCCCGCGTGTTCCTGTCGTGCGGGTTTGCCGTATCGCAACTCCAAGCTGCTACTTAATGATTTGTCTACTTGGCCCGATTGTTAGGAGTCTCTGCTGCAGTACTTCCTCAAAGCCTAACTATAGATTCCCCAATTAAACCTCACACTGGGCACGCAAAATCTACGTGGTAACGGCATGTAGCCGCATCACAAAGATGTTTATAAATCAAACTTTTGGTGCGAAGCCTCGGGAATTCTTGGCTTCTTAGCGTCTAATGTCGTCACGGTCCGTCATAAATGGGTATTCACCAGTGGCGTAGCCATAGAGTGACATATATATATATATATATATATATATATATACTTATATATATAATATATATATACCAGGCCCATGCCCCCCCCCCTAAATTTTGTTGCCATTGTAAACATAGGACAAAATGGCACTGAACTACATCTTCCTGCGCGGCCCTCACATCAGATTGAGGTATCGCCCCCTCCCCTCCCGAAAAAGAAATGTCTGCCTACGCCCCAGGTAGACGCCAGAAATAGGTTAAATTCCACCACTCGTTTCCGGTCCTCTAAAAATGAAGTAGGGGACAGTTCGCACGACAACAGAGCAGCGACGTTGGCAGAGCTGAAACACAGATCTCTAAATGCCTTAGACAACTGAAACCGGGCATGAAAGCAAAAATAAGAATAAGAAACAGCTTAGGGTAAGCTGCATTCAAACCCATTTTCTGACGGCGTTACTCCACCAGAAACACCCTTTCCGACATACCCGGTTTCAGGCTAGTACCTCATCCTCATCAAGAAAAAATCACTGCATATCCAAGGAGTGAATGATGGTGAGTAGGACGAAGCGTCCATCAGTCTGTCCGTGCATCTATCCGTGCATCCATGCGCTTGTCCATGCGTCCATCCACCCGTCTATCTAGTGAACACTCCGAGTACCACCATCTCGCATCTTTTAATCATATATTCATCATATACAAGTACCGCCAGCCCCTTCGCGGTGGTCTAGTAGCTAAGGTACTCGGCAGCTGACCCGCAGGTCGCGGGATTGAATCCCGGCTGCGGCGGCTGCATTTCTGATGGAAGCGGAAATGATTTAGGCCCGTGTGCTCAGATTTGGGTGCACGTTAAAGAACTCCAGGTGGTCCAAATTTCCGGAGTCTTCCACTACGGCGTCTCTCATAATCAAATGGTGGTTTTGGGATGTTAAACACCACATATCTATCATATAAATCACCGCCATCCAACGAACATTCCAATGACTAAACGAGAGGTGGCTGGCTACCTACTACTACTACTACTACTACTACTACTACTACTACTACTACTACTACTACTACTGCTGCTGCTGCTGCTACTACTACTACTACTACTACTACTACTACTACTACTACTACTACTACTACTACTACTACTACTACTACTACTACTACTACGTACATCAGGGACGCACGACCAATGGCTTAAGAAGCTTCGCTCCTAAAAATCTCTCTCAAAACACTGTATGATTCCCTCCTCACCACGCTTCACCCTAGTGCAGATAGAAGACCATTCGTTCCCCTCTTTCATCGCCCCTTCACAGTTCTTTTAACGATAACAGTCACACTTTTTTTTTTGATCACTGCGTTTGAATGCGTTGCTATTTAATTCAACAAATCGTATATTGACTCCCGTAAGCCTCGCAAATAAACGTTTCTTATTCTTTCCTGCATCCTAACAAGCATTCTGATGAATGTATAGTCATTGTCTCCGTATCAATGGCAATGAAAGAATGTGGCTTGCAGCGTAAGAAGTCTGTTTCATTTCCGGCTCAGGGGCTGCATTTTGGTGGGGTCAATTTACAAAAGCATGCACATTAGGAAGCCCGGGTAGATAAGAATCCGCAGTCCAGGTGTCCACCACTACGCCATGGATGTTTACACACGAGACTTGTTGTTACGTGGCATTTTGTAGATAGGGCAGGCGAAATGTTGCATCTCGTTTGGTGATAATTATCCCGATGACCGTGTTCGCGTGATCTCACGGCACTTCACTCACACGATCTTACATAATTTTAGTTATAGTTCTTAAGTGTTGTTGCGTGATTTTTAGTCACGTAACAGACTCGTCATCACAAATATTTTATTTGACGCCAGACAAAATTAAAGCACGGGTTGCGGGAGCCAAGCAAAAGTCCCAGATCATGAACGCAGGGCGCCCCGGTTCAAGATGACGATGATTCCTATTAGCACTTCCCGGCGCAACAAAAAACTTGAACGCCTCCACTCTTAATAGTATACTTTCTTTATTATGCACATCAATGGAACTTCTTAACACTTTTTATACTGCCGTTATTCTTGTTTCAATATGTTAGGTCATTATTAAATTATTGCGAGTTAACGTGCCAAAGACAGGATATAATTATGAGAGACGCCGTAGTGGAGGGCTCTGGAATTTTCGACCTTCTGGAGTTCTTCAACGTGCACCCAAGTGTAAGCGCATGGGCCAACAGCATTTTCGCCTCCATCTAAAATGCGGCCGCCGCATCCAGGATTTCATACCGCAGGTCAGCAGCCGATGGCCTTGACCGACCACCGTGGCGAGTCGATATGTTAGTTCAATATATAGGACGGAAACTGCTTTCACCCTACATGGGCAGGGGTGTCACACAAGTGGCCGGGACAGCATGTTGTTTTCCGATTACTTCCAAAAGCTAGGCTAAAGGATATCTGCAAGAGCTGCCTGCATTCTTCAACTCCTGCCCCCGATCACACACGTGCGCTATCTATATGGACCACTTATGCCAGACAGCGTGCTTCACTGATCACGAGTGTTAGCTCACACTTATACGCAAGAGAAAAGTGCACATTGCGTCACTGCGTCCGATAAGTTTACTTACATTTCTCAACAATGGACATTCAGCCAAAAGGATAACAGAAAAATGAACTAAAGAGATCGAAACCTGATGTGCTCAAAGACCTGTTGTACCAACATTGGGCCATACATGCTTAGCTACGCAATAGTCAATCGCTTTAAGTTATCGCCAAGATGTGGAAGTTTTCGCTGCGAAGTTACGAAGCTATCAGCTGGACGGCCGTAGCGATTACCTTCGTCTACGTACTGATCAGGCTGATCAGGTAAGCGTTTGTTCAAATGAAAGCGCGTTCTTTGAAGCATAGCAAAGAAGGGAGTGTTGTTCCTACGGAAAAATTTGTAGGCAACTTACGCCCTTGTCCAACCTGTCGGCAATTTGTTTGCGATACATAAACTACACTCACTGCTCGCTCGTTGCTCACTGGGGCGATATTGGTGTGCAGCACCACACTTGAATTAGTTTACATTTAGCGTATTCATGCAGGTGCGCACATTTGATTGCTTGGCCTATTATTTTCAAAACAACAAATATTATAGCTTGTTTAGGTAAATAAAGTGAATTAGCTGAATTTTACTGCAACCGACTTCCACTAAAAAGTGACAAAGCAACGCCTAGCCCAACAGATGGCGTGCGCATCGCCATAGTCACAGGACTGCTGTGTGATACTTCGTGGTAATAAAAGACGGTGGCTATAACACCACCTGGAAGCCTAACCAAGAGTGTTGAATAAAGAGATCGATACAACATATGAAAACATCTAAAGCGAATATTTTTTCCTAAACCTGCGTATAATAGTGGTATGACCAAGATTCAATAAGTTTATTTTATCGCCTCCAAGCTTAAAAAGATAGCAGCGGTGCAACAAATCTGAAAGGCTTGCAGAAGATCAAAATGAGTTAGCCTGACCAGGAGAACGCCAGCAGCTTCCACCTTAAACGAACATTAGCGCTACGAAAACAGGGACGGGAAATAAAAGACAAATTACAGCGCTGTAGTTTGCCTCTTCTTTCCCGTCCCTGCTTTCGCCGCCCTAATATTCGTTTAAGATGGAAGTGCACCACCTTACCCAACTGTCCCTCCTGGAGCCAGCAGCTTCGCCGCTTCATTCGTGCTTGCGAAGCCAAGCTGGGTTTTTAAACCAGTTCTCTAACTCAGTACGTATTTCTTGAATTAAAAGAAGTAGTTTTAATTTAACCAACTAAGGAAGGAAGGAAGTATGTTTATTTACAGAAAGGCAGAGAGGTCGGCCTGAGCGATAGTTTGCTCTAGCCTGCTACTCTACACTGGGGGAAGGGAAAGGGGAAAAGAAAGATTAATGGATGACGATGGTGAGATAGAGAAGGTCCTCCCTCAGCTGGTCGAGTCAATCTTTCGCCTTTTAACCGACTAAAACCAGTTATTGTATTTATAGGTGAGCTCATGGATTACATAAAGGTATAACCCACAGCAAAGCAAAGGAACGATCTGTTTTTCGTGTGCAGGTCCCGCCAAAAGACGTTCAGTTACTTCAAGGAAATCGGGATACCAGGTCCAGAACCAAGCCTCATATGGGGGAATCTGGTCGAGTACCACAAGAAGGTATAGGCCACTGTCTCAAGATATGTGAAAAAATTAGTCTGATATATTTTTAATTGTTCATTGCCATATGTGGTCACTGAGCCAAGGCGTAGACAATTTTTTGGAAGGGGGGAATGATGCCACATGATATGGGGCACGAGATATGAAAGAATCCATCACGGGCTGTAGCGCTCTCAGATGCGCTTTGAACAGTACATGAGGTGATGGGAAACACCAGACCGAGTGAGCTTGGGACACGCACAGTAGCCGTCGTAGAGTTCATGTATAGGGACACGCACACGAACGCAAACAGGTTATGCTTCACATTTTTGGCCACTGAAGCATTACGAAGTTGTAAGCTAACGCCACTGATTCGATAGTACCGAGCGCTGCTCAGGAAACAGAGGTATCTGTGAGCCAACATGATGAAAGCCCGTTTGCACAGTGTCATGCCCCGGACATGGTGCCTTCTAGCACGGGGGAACATCAAGCCGAGAAGGGGTGGTTACAGATTCGGCAATCAGATGTCATTACCTTTTCGGTTGCCGACCTCGGCCAACTCTCGATGGCGTTTCAGAACATCCACCTGTGCCGCACCCTAACCGTTAGCGAGAGCCGTTCCTCCTCCTGCACTATTCGGGTAAAAAATTATCAAAGAAGGCAGGAGGAGGAACGGGGTATGGGTGTATTGGGCCACCCCCTGGTTATGCCACAATGCCAAACGTGCTAAAAAAACTAGATGACGTGCAAGGAGATTCAAATTAGGGGTTGGGGTTGGGGTGATGGGACGGGGGACGCAAATGATGTTTACTCAAGAAGTCAGAACAATTTGATGTTTGTGTCGTCAGTGTCATCCATGGAAGCGCTCTGCCACTTCATCATTGCCGCGGTGCTGAAGTGGCTGAGCTCTTTCCTCAACAGGCACCGTACACTGTATAGAGGGCGTAACCTTGCGCTTATTAAACGGCAGCGTCGAAAACAATCTCTCTTCACTCAGCGTGGTTGTCATCTGCCATCAAGACGACAAATGTAGACAGGAAGCCTCCAACCAGCAATCATTGGCAGCCGGTAAAACCTGCTTCTGCATCGCACCGCAGCCATCTGAGTGGTTTAAAGAGGCTATACTCGGAGCGGTCGTGCCACTGCTCTGTTCAGCAGCAGTCGTAACAGGCGGCAAGCACCCACTTTTTCTCGAAAAGCTAATTTTCGGTGGTTGTAAAGGTGAAGCTAGTCGACATAGCAGGTCCCTTCAGACACACTCTTTTCGCAGTCATCCGTTGAAAGTCGTCTTACATAATAGTGGAGCGTACGCTATATCAAGAACACGCGACTCAAGGCGATGCGTTTGTTTTTGTTTCGTTTCAAAATACTGCACATAAGAGAAAAGTGGAAAGTCGGCAAGCATGCACATACCTGTTCACTGAGAATTGTTCGAAGATCCAGGCTTATCGAGTGGGATGTGTGCGTATCTCGCTGCAGGCGTGCATGATGCTATGCATTTTACTTTATATTGTACTGGAATGTTAACTGAATGGGCACTACCCACAATATTAACAGCCTCGTAATCTATAGGTGTTTAATAAATTGCATACCAGTGAGTGCTGATAATTGTTGGCAAAACTGCATTTTTATTACAGGCGCGTGTACCTTAAATCCTGATGCGCTAACTCTACTTAAGTCACCCAGATTTCGTCTTCCCGTTCAAATGTTTGAGCAGTCCTTCAATACGCATTTTTTGTCAATATTTCACCACTTTTGGCATCCGGCCATGGGATCTCACCTATTCCGTACGGTGCCTCTTAAAGCGCGATTGCGTTATCTTCCACTATACGTTGTGAACAGCTGGGTCCACGTAGAACCCTCCGCTACCGCAGATCAAGGTAAAGGTAACATAAGTTGTGTGTCATACTAATTTGAGTAGCACATGATGTAAGCAGTGCTGAAACTCTGAAGCACGTCTGTGCCATTACGTGTAGGTAAAGCATCCGCTCGCCTTCTTTGGAGCGCTCACTACACACTTGCTAGAGCACGTTTTCGCATCTGATATCGTGCAGGGCTTCGTGCACTCCGTCACAGAGTGGGGCGCCAAGTATGGGGACGTGTTCGGGTAAGTGGCGTTACTGTTCTTGAACCGCAATCACGGGATCTTTTTCATAACTCATCTGAACCTCCAAATGAGATTGAGCATAAATATTTTATGGTCCTATAATTGTACTACATTTAAGTGCTTCTTGCAGCAATAGTTGCATCTACTTCAATAGAATTCACCATGTACGAAGCAAATAAATTCATTCTATACCACATAGCAAATAGTTTGCTAGCTCTTGCAATAGGTCACATAAGCATTCCTGAAAACTTGCGAATGGGCTAATTGTAGGTACAACACCAAGAATTCAGTGACTGCCTTAATAGCACCTGTGTGAGGGTCACTAATAGCGCTTGTGCAATTGGCAGCCTCGGAGCGTACAGAAGGGTAAGCACATATGAGCTCGGTCACAGTACAAGAATATTATGCGGTGAAGGTTACAAAAAAAGCAGAATGTGCTGCTTTCACGAGACCTAGCATGCCCCTAAAAATTATTAGCGCGATAGCGGTAAAGATCTTGTTGCGCAAAAACTCTGGCGTCGGCGAACGTACGTCGGCTGTGAGGAAAAAATTATCATTTTTTCCGTGGCCCAACAAGCGAGAAAGATGCAAATAAAATAATCAAGTTTTATGGGTTCAAGTGATGATAAAAAACATGCTGTTTTCTGGCAAACCGTTTTTCCACCACACATTCACGCGTGCTTAGAAATACAATGAAAATAGCTTCCTCTGTTAGGCAACGGAGCGAAAATAACACTCATGCTTTAAACATAATGCGTCCTGTTAACAGGTTTCACAATACACTATACGTAATATCGCAGGGGCATTGCACGTTACAAGCGTACATTACCATTGGGCGCCAGAACAAACGATTATCGTAATGATTTCGTGGTTAAAGGTGGTCGTCCATTACACAAGGCGCACAGGTTACTGCGCGTATCCCCTTAAGACCACGTAGTCGGTATACAACTTGGAAAACATTTAACGTGCGTAATTGCACTTGGTTGAAAGTACGCTACGCATTACAACAAATGCAGCCATATGAGAAAGCTTCACTTACACAAGCTACCTTCATCTTCATCGATTACATTATAATTGTACACAGTTTAAACTTCTCAAGTAACATCATACAATCAAAAGCATGCACTAACTTGTGCAAGTACGCATCAAGGGCAAGATATCGCTATCGCGTTCAACTTTTAAAGGCGATGTTAGGGTCCCCCAATTCTGAAATATGTACGGGTTTTGTGAACTATATAAAATGGCTTCGCGGATCACACTAAAGTCCGTGGACCTCCATTTAGTGATCACTGCTATAGACATTGACTTAGTGCTTGTATACGTCGCTGGTTGAATTCTACGTATGGGTTGCATGTGCTGTTACGCCTCGGAGTGTACACCGGACGTCAATGCCTCTGCAAAGGCAATCTGTGTCAAGGCCAGCGATCAAGCCCGCCTGACGCGATCAACTCAACGACGTCATCAAGTGGCGGAGCCGGTCTGTCTTGTGCAACGCACAGCGAGCTGCCTCAACCCACGAGCCCGTTGAAACAATCGGCGCCTTCCAGTCTGGCGAGTCTTACGCAATGCATGAAAACACCACTCGTCCTTGGGTGTAACCAAGCGCAGCAACTCCGGATTGGATGATCATGACGCAGCCCAGTGGCGGGTCCCCATTGGAGGATTCTGACATCACGGCTAGCGGCACTTCTGGATGGACGTTGGTGACGCGAATGGTCCTCGTGGTACCTATAAAAAAAACGGGGTGTTAAAGCGCGACTTACTTGGGTCGATGGCTAAATTGGTTAACGTGGTTGTGAAATGGGGTGTTAAATTGCGACTTGCTTGGGTCGATGGCTAAATTGGTTAACGTGGTTGTAGGAGGGGGTGTTAAATGAGTGAACACGTACACACCTATGCGAAAGGGCGGCGCTGGTCGAAGGGACGTCGATCATTGTGTTTGTGGATTCGTTGGAATTCATTTCACCGCGACCTTGGACGTCGACGCGCCGTACAAACCAACCGACGAGCGGCAACTGAGCGAGCGAGCGCCGACCTTGAGTATATATACAGCACGACGGCGCATGCACTGTCAGCTGTTGAATGTTCTCGAAGCGCGACGCCACATGCGCGTCCACTGGAGAATCAGGAGAATTGTAGATGTCGAACGCGGTGTGTAGAGGAGGAAGGGTGCACAGATGGTGGAGGAGTGAAGCGCGCGCGGTGTGTAGAGGAGGAAGGGATGCACAGATGGTGTAAGAGTGGGCGACGGCGCGATGGCGCATGCGCGCGCGTCAGCTGTCAAATGTTCGAGAAGCGGTGCGGACGGCACGGACGGCGCACTACAAGGCGCGAGTATAAGATGCTCCGCATCTAAAAGCCAAGTGGCGCGTTGCCAGCAGTTGACCTATGCGTCAGAGAAAAGCCGGCGTATGCGTGCGAGAGAAGCCTCTCGTTGCTTTGAGCCCCTTCGCAGTCAGCGCGGCCGGCGTCCTTGGAAGCGGCGAGTTTCGTGGCGCCCTTCGTAACCTCGTCGGCGGTGCGCTTTGTAACAGTGCCTGTGCTGGCCAGTACTTTATCAAGATCCAAAGTGAAATTGTGTTCGAAGACAAATTATATAAAACTACACTTTTTTAGCGAATTTCGGCAGCCCTCGATTTCACACTGTGCTCATTTTTTCGCGTCTATCAGTTTTAAAACTGCAACAAGGCGCAGGCCACTGCTGCAGTCTGAGAGCGCTTTACGTGAAATGCCACAACAATCAAGGTCTTACGAAATAACGAAATGACTCAGTTCAGCTACGTTCACCTACGAGGAAATAATGCTCGCAAATACTGGGCATATATTTGTTTTATGTCACCAGTAACAGTGTAATGAAAAAAGATTTTACTACGGTGTTTAATAGATATCCATCCCGGTACTCAGGCGAGCTATACAGACCTTGGAAAGTTAGTTTTAAAAATGAACTTTACGGTGCAATTTACTTCACTCGTTTGTTTGTTTTTCCGAACGTCGCTCTTATTACTTTGTTAAAAATAACAGAGTCACCTGCTCGAAATGATATTTATTGTCTCCTCATTAGTCAGAGCAATCTGAATTGATGCTACTGCTTCACCAATAGAAAAAAAAGTCCCCGACAATTACAATACTGCCTAAACAAGTGAGAGTTCTGAGCACAGCTATTTAAGTTTCCCAATTCTGCGATAAGTTGAGGCGCGACTGCCTCGTTATAATTGGGAGACCGGGGTATAGGCGGCTCGTGGCCGCGTTTTACAACAGCCGCCGCAGGCATGCTTGCATTCCCGCAGTACTTTAAGTTTATATATGGTGTCGATAGACGCCTTCGCTGCATGCCTTAGCAATGACGTCATCACAAGATGGCGCGTACTATTTCATGCCGTGAGTAGCCGCTGCGGAACTTGTAGTCTTGCTACTGTCGTTCTCGCCTGTTCCCGCTCTCCTCGCTATCAGTGTCTTCCATCCCCCACTGCACTCCAGGTTCGCTCTCTTTCATCCTCGTCCGCTTTGCGAATTACAACACCGGCGCTGCTCGAACCTGGAACGGGTGTCTGAGTGCAGCGCACAAAAACTAATTTAAAGTGGGTGAGCTTTATGTCAGCAAAACTTTACGCAAAGTATGTGAGTCCACTAGAGCACTCCATACACACTGACCCTTCGGCTAACGCAGGCTTTCTCCGAAGTTTCTCGTGTCCGAACGCGTGGGGCATGCTAGTGTTGCCACAAGTAAGCACCGCCAAACGAGCCATTGCAAGTGCTAACAGTGGCTAGACACCTCTGCATTAACACTCTTTCGACCTCGTTCGCTCTCTCTGTTACGCCGACAACAGCGACGCCGCTCGGCGCATAAACGAATGCCCAACAGTTGCGTTCCAAAAACCGAAAACTTTTTTTTAAGTATTGCCTCAAAAAACACACACTGTACTACTTTCCAATTCTGTCAACTTTGCTTTGATATTGTTTTTCGTTTTTTTACAGCTTTTACAATGGCGATCTTCCCATGTTGGTTGTCAAGGACTTGGACTTTTTAACTTACATATTCGTGAAGAACTTCAAGAACTTCACTGACAGAGGTGTAAGTATGACGGCATGAGCATCTGCAATCGTAAGAAAAAGCGCGTCGCTTGCTGCGGGACTTCTGAACCCTTGTTGTCTCTGTCTGTCTAGTATAGTGAGGCGATTAAAACAAGCTAATGCGTCATTTTTCCTAATGCTGCGTTATTTAGGAACACACTGAATAATTTGTGCTGATAATCGCAGACTGTGAGATGCCCATAGACAGCATTGTACCTGACCAACAGCGTCTCCCTAAGCTCCATGAACGTTTACGTTAAACATAAAAGTGACACGGATACCATAAGGGTATAAGCTTATTTGCAAACCAAGTACTGAACGAGCAATATTGTAAAGCACAAACCAATGGTCAATTTCCCTTTTTCTTAGTTGATTAACTCCGAAGAGCGTAGTCTATTTGCAACCCTGCAAAGACTATGAACTTTATGCTTTTGTGGTTGCTTTTGCTAAAAGTTGTCACTGGGTCAAATCTTGTAAGCGTATTCTATTTCAAATCTTTTTATCCCTTGTTAGATGCTCATGCGAACAGACCAAGAGCATACTGTTCTGAGAAACAGCATCATAAACGCCAAAGGGGCACAATGGAAAAGAACGCGAGGCTGCATATCACAAGCGTTCACTTCTAGCAAGCTGAAGCAAGTAAGTACTCATCGTCCTTTTTCCTAATTTGTTTGTTTGTTCGTTTTTGTTGCTTCGTTTACTTGTATACATCTCTTGCAGTTTACTGTCTAGAGAAACTGAGAGGGCACATGAATGCATTGCACGGTCAATCTTGCACCATCATTCGCAAAAACAAAAGCATACAATACGTGCTAAATGTGCTTTTAGTGCATTTTTACGCTAGTTAAAGGGTATGCTTATGTTAAGGCTCGTTGAACCCTCTGACTATTGAATTGTTGACGCAGGCATCCTATAGACCCATTTCATGTTTGTGAACACAGATAGGCCGACGTCGACATAATGAGTAAAATTATAGCGACGCCCGCACGTAACTTCCGCCATAAGCACTGAGGGTTGCGATGTGCGCCAGCAAAACGACGTTGTGAGACGTTATAAGCATTGTGAAAGCCATAAGTGCTGAGGGCTGCAATGTGCGCCAGCAAACAAAACTAAGTTGTGGGACGTGACTCACATCCAACCGTGACGCAGCTCGTCGGCATAACGTTTCTTTTTTAGATGCGGAGCATCTTATACTCGCGCCTTGTAGTGCGCCGTCCGCGCCGTCCGCGCCGTCCGCACCGCTTCTCGAACATTCGACAGCTGACGCGCGCGCATGCGCCGTCACGCCGTCGCCCACTCTTCCACCATCTGTGCATCCCTTCCTCCTCTACACACCGCGCGCGCTTCACTCCTCCACCATCTGTGCACCCTTCCTCCTCTACACACCGCGTTCGACATCTACAATTCTCCTGATTCTCCAGTGGACGCGCATGTGGCGTCGCGCTTCGAGAACATTCAACAGCTGACAGTGCATGCGCCGTCGTGCTGTATATATACTCAAGGTCGGCACTCGCTCGCTCAGTTGCCGCTCGTCGGTTGGTTTGTACGGCGCGTCGACGTCCAAGGTCGCGGTGAAATGAATTCCAACGAATCCACAAACACAATGATCGACGTCCCTTCGACCAGCGCCGCCCTTTCGCATACGTGTGTACGTGTTCACTCATTTAACACCCCCTCCTACAACCACGTTAACCAATTTAGCCATCGACCCAAGTAAGTCGCAATTTAACACCCCATTTCACAACCACGTTAACCAATTTAGCCATCGACCCAAGTAAGTCGCACTTTAACACCCCGTTAACCAATTATATGCTCCGCATCCTCCTCAGTGTTCCCCCGAGGGAAGCTGCGGGCAATTTTTTTTTGTTGCTTGAATAAGAACGACACATGCACCATTGAAAATTCAGCAGAAACTGCGGTAGGCAGAGCCATAGAGTTTCCTAAAATTAACTAGAGGGGATTCTGGCGCTGCGATCGTTCAGCGACCATGAAAATGATGGGTAGTGCACACATTTGCCTAATCTTCGCACTTGCGGGTGGCGAGTCGTACTTGCGGCTTTGTTTATTGCTGGTTACGGTTTTGTTTTGAAGAAAAGAACCAACCCTTTTTGAACTTTGTGACTCGATTCGAAATGATAAGCCTAAAAAAATAAGGTTTTGAAGCGCAAACGCTGAACATTTGCTAATTTATGTTTTCGTTAAAAAACAGCTCCTAGGCACACGAACACAAACAGAGCCAGAAGCAGGCCAGAAGTACGAAAATTAGACAAATGTGTGTACTACCCATCATTTGAAATCTCATGCTCGCTGAAGCGCCGTGCGTTGCAGCTCCCATACACACTAGCTCCAGAGTTTCCTCCAGTGTATATTAGGAAACTTTAGGGGTACAGTATCTTTTGCCTACCAAGAGAGCGCCACCGCATTTTCGTGACGTAAGTCCGGTGGAATTTGTCTATAACTCAAAAGTTTTGCTGGCGTTGTGTTTGCTGCTCTTTCATCTTCTAGGATAAACTATGAATGAAATGATGCCGAAAATTAGTTGAATATAAATGTTTCAGTGAATACCGAATCATTTAGAAAAGTTCAAACACATGGAAACCCTCTCGTTGATGAGACGCTGATTCAAACAAACAACAGGAAGTCCCGCTGCTGATATACATAATGCCTTGTGTACCGATATTCTTTGCGTGAATGCGCTTTTGCGATTGTACCATGGTTGTGTGCAGTGACATCAATAACAAATGTGAAATGTCTACGTGCATTAGTCTTTTCAAACGTGCGATAAAGTTTCTCTTCAGAAAAACTTGGCAAGTGCATCGAAATTTGACTGACATTTCAGTACCTTATTTCAATGCGCAAAGGCGACAATGCAGATGTCACAGTTCATGACCATGATATTACAAGAAGACTGAGTTCTAGTCTTAGTGCACTCATAGAGTTATCGTCCTTGAAGACAACAAGTGGGATTCGAACGTACCTCTCAATCACTCACGTCGTGAATTTGGCTTTAGTCATTCATAAGTTTATGTTCTCACGTTCTTTTAAAATATAACACCCTTTTGATTTCGCCATAGAAGTGGGGTCGCTTCATCAAATAATTAAAGCGCATTACCACTCGTACAATATACCATATTCAGTTTTTCTTTGTTATCACATGGATTGTCACTGGCACCACACGCATTCATGCTGGATATGATAGCAAAACCACAGCTCAGCTGTTTCCACAGGCCAATTCATTGTTTGTGTTTCTTTGCATAAATACATTTAATACTACAATCACTTCTAGTGAATGACTCCACTATATGTCACTTAACAGGAATGATTCAATCAGTGAATAACGTTAAACGAGTTGAAACAGCTGTGCGGGAAGATATATTTTAATGCGAGAACGTCTTCCACACTCCTATGAGCTTGTAGCGGGCGATGACGCCGGTAATCGCGATAAATTTATTTGTGTGCGCATACCAATTCGTATGAAGAGGCGCACGGCTCAGACGCGGCCAACATGTCTCACGTTATCTCCGGAGGGCCACGGAAAATACGCAGCCACGCCCCTTTTGGTTGTCGCTTTCGAAGCCTGTTTTTCTTGGAAAATCAACTAGTCTTGTCCCAAACTTCAAAGAGTGTAGGTGCCTTCTTTTCGCACCTCCATGGGGCGAGTACGCTACAAGCTCAATATACGCAAAACGACATTGAGAAACGTTGGAGGCTTCAGGTTGTTCTGACAAGCTTCATTGATGGCTGCTGCCCACCGTTAACATGGTAGGACGAGACCTTTCAGCAGAAGCGTATTTTCCGACGAATATACCTTTGTTTTTATTGCCTGCTTTGTGCACTTATATAATCTGAATATAGAAACTGAATCTCACAGCAAGACTAGACAAATGCTAGTGATATTTAGCACGCTTCCCATCGTGACCTGTCCTATAAAACTGCTCACGTCGTTTCAGGTGATGCCACATCTCACAGAATCGACCGATTTGTTCTTAGAAACGTTGGGCGACTTGGCAGACGCTAGACGAGAGTTGGCGATCCACGAACCTCTTCAAGGTCTAGCCATGGACTTCATTGGTCGAGCAGCTTTCGGACTCGACTGTTGCTTTCAGCGGAACCCTTGGCACCCATTCATGCAGGCAGCACGCGAGGTCATACACGGCGTTCAGACTGGACCCTTTCATATGATCGCCCGTGAGTGCGGTCGTGTCTAATGAAAACACCGAGTATTACTTTAGGCAGAAAATGCGGTAAAAGCGTTGCGTCCTTGAGGGCCTGCACACGCGCTATCACACAGCCGCACCGCATGTGTCGGGACACTTGCCGCACGCGTCGGGACACTTGCCGCACGCGAGTGGAGGGCCCACCGCTTGTGTGTGGCGGGTGTCCCAGCACGTGCGGTGCGGCTGTGTGGATAGCGCGTGTACAGGCCCTTACCCTCTTCGCTTCCGCGCTTTCGGCGGCCTGGGTTTAGGGGCACTGAGGTTTAGGGACCGGGAGGGCAAAATAGACTTTAAGCGGGTAGACTTAACTAGAAGGAGGTTATCTGATTGGTGGCTAAAGTCAAGGCACGAGTGAAAATTAAACCCTTCAATGCAAAGTACGAATTCTCAAACTCACTTTTTAAAGAAAAAAAAATAAATCTAATTTTTGGTTCATTAAGTATTACGGCTTGGTGGCGCTAACCACCGCCCGATCTAAAGGGTACAGCCAGATCCATCCATCCATCCATCCATCCATCCATTCATCCATCCGTGGTGGCCTAGTCTGCGCCATCTTGAAGCCTATAATATTGAATATTACCTTTTTGAGTATATGACATTGAATATTACCTTACCAATGTCAGTATTTTTTTCTATTCTGACAGATTGCACAAGTACGCTGCCAGCTATTGCATCTACAATTCTCTGGTTGAACGAAAAATTGGGCTCGTTCACCTTTAGCACCTTCGGCGAGGAGACCAAAAAGATCGTTGAAATGAGACTACGCAACCCCGAGGTAAAGGATCAGCCTCGTCTTCTTTAGACCTAGCAATTGAAGGAATGATAGATGACAGGGCCGGTTTGTTTGTCTTGCTCAGTTTCTCTTAGCATTTGAATTCGATAACAGGTAGCTTTCTTTTTTTAATGCGCTTTATGGGACGAACATATTCTAAAGAATCAATAGCTTACTCACAGACTTGAAAGCCACAAAAACAAGAACCTCGCAGGTTAGTATTTCACTTTAACTACTGCAAAGTGGTAGTAATGCGAGATCATATACTTCCATCAGGCTGATCCATGTGTGAATTAATTTTTTTTTCATTTTACAAAACTACGATTACGGTTACCCATACATGGAGCAACTGCAAAAATGTAGGCCTAAGTGCACGTTTTTTTTTATTTCCGACGTCCTCAGGTTCCCGTCATAACAGCGTGATTTAAACTGGAACACTTACAATTGATCCAACAGTTTACCTATAGCGTTCCTATTGGAAGCGACATGACGTGATTGTCTCAATAAATTGCTCATACTAGTAGTTAAACAAAAACGAACTAATATATTTGAATCCATAAGCGCTGTTCTGCTGCTATTTTGCACCGTTTTCTTCTGTAGTCTAAAGTAAGAACTTTTCGAGAATAACCTCAATGTTTAGGTCAAATGGTATGTAGCTGCCTTCTCAAACCTGCAAACTTACTCATCTCCATAGAATGTTCTTTTATACACATATAAGATAGTGCTAATATACACAAGCAGAATGTACTTCTTCCGTAATTAAAATTTCCTTGTTTGAAGTTTGCCACCAGCTACTGATGAATAAACTAGAGATCAGTTTATCTAATAAGCGCAATCTGAAGCGTTTGGAATTCATGGTTTCATTTGAACACCCTTCACCTATAGCGCTCGTCTTTTCAGGCAAGAAGGCCAGACCTGCTGCAGATCATGCTAGATGCAAGTGATAAAGAAGGCCGCCAGCACAATGGTATGTTACAGAATACGCAATAGTTGTTTCGCTAAAACATTCGGGGCTTTCGAGTGTCCAGACCAGGGTCGCCACCTATCGGGTAATTGTTCTACGTATAGGGTACTTTTAGGAATTTTCCGGTCTGCCTGGGGTTAGTAGGGCGGCGACGTAGGATAAATCCAACGTTGCGCTCGTCATTGATCAGTGAAAAGTGTAGACGATCCGCGTGACATATCCGAAAGTTACATTCCAAGAGAGATCCGAATCGGAATTGTTTCTCTTCGAATGTCACCAGCACAAGATATAAAAGTAATACGTTAATCATTCTGGTGCTAAGTTTGTTGTTTTTCATGATTTTTTTTCTCTCCGTTGACTCCTATCTGTTTGTAGCATGCACGGGCTTTCGAACGGTGCACGGTGCACGGTGCTCAGCTTCTCTTAATATGAAACTTAATATGCCTCAACATAACGAAATCTGATTATTAGTAACAACGCGAGGGTTACAAAAATCGTCATGATTACCGACAATGTCTTACGATTTCATTGTGGCAAAACACGTCCCCAACATTTTTTGCCATTATGAAGTCACTTTGACGTCAGCGTGGCATAACAATGTGACGCCAAATGATGGCGTCATCAGGTGTCATCGTCCCATGGTGGTAGTGGAGCTGATCTCGGAGGCGCCACATACAGAGTCTGAACATCGTAGAGTGTACGTCATTTGTACATTATCACTGCTACTTTGTGGCCCCTCCGAGATGTTCTATTGGCTAAGATACTCGGATGCTGGCCCGCAGGTCGGGGGATCAAATCCCGGCTGTGACGGCTGCATTTTCGGTAGAGGCGAAAATGCTGTAGGTCCGTGTGCTCAGATCTGGGTGCACGTAAACAACCCCAAATGGTCGAAATTTCCGCAGCCCTCCACTACGACGGCTCTCATAACCATACCGTAGTTTTGGGACGTTAAACCCTACATATTATAAATATTGCTGCATGGTGATATTTTTATGTGTAGGGTGAAACTTAGAATAATGAAAAAAATGTTGTGTATGGTAAAGCACGACAATTTAGGCCTTAGTGTAGGGTATTTTGAAAATATTCATTTGAAACAGTGATTCAGGCTTCTTTCTTCCATCCCTGTTTGCACACCATGTATCATTTAAAACACTTCGTCCTTCCGGGGAACTTACATAACCCATATATGGTGTTTGTACGTTTGTGAAAAAATTATGGGCTCTATTAGCCTGTAAATACAAACGAATTGATAACACATACGACATTACAAAATTCTATTCGATATTATCACTGATTCATGTTGCCTCACATAACCTAATGGACCTGAAAAACATATTCTATACATATTTTTATTTTTTTATTTTTTGAAAGCAGGGGCGTACATTTTGCTTTAGTTATGTAAAGTGTAACCTATACAACTTCAATATTGCTTTAGGGTTTTGGGCACGTTTTCAATATCGCATTCATTGCGGCTTTTACCGTGCAAAGAGTATAACTATACTTAATCGGAGGAACGACTCGCCTCACTAGATTCGACTTGTGACTCTGAAATTCACATATTTATTATGGGCATGTTTACATCAAGACCTTGCTGCATGAGTTGGCCTACAGAACACTTAAATTCAGCTGCTTTAGTTTTTATTTTAAAAGTATTTCACTGCTACGATAGATCATCATCCTTTATTAAAAATTTACGTTTTTTATGCAGCCCAATGCATTCTTTTTTTTTTCTCCGTGTAATATATCTACATACCTTCCACGTGATTTCTAAATGCCGAAATGGCAAGCACACTGTCAAGATTTTCATTCTTTCCTGTAATCATTTCACTGTTTTGTGTTTTATCTCAGTTTCTTATTGGTAGCCTATCCACTCATCTCGTCGAGGTTGCAAAGTTAGATGCATTTCTAGTATGAAGTGCAATCTGAAACTCTATGACATCAAGCACAAACTCTATTTCTTTTTCTGTGTAGCCAATTCGTGTCTTGCTAACAGGAAGGATGTTTTGTTCTTGCTGATCACACCGTTCTTTATCTGTTGCTATGCTGTCCAGAGGACTCGAAGAACAGAACGAGTATGACACTTCAGGAGGTTGAACTCAACACCACT